CTCTCCATTCCAGGCAGAACTTGACAGGAAAGAACAGAAAAACGACGCTGTGTATTACAATGCTTTTCTGGCAATATATTGGCTGGCAAAAGAAGAGTTACCAAACTTCAAAATTTCCAGCTTTTTGTATGTGCTTGAACAATTAGGATTGATAGATATGAAATATTTTCAGCATCGCTCAGCTGGATCATTCAGAGAAATATTCTTAGCGCTGGGGTATCAAATTAAATCACAAGTGGCAGAGAAGTGCAGAAAAGCAAATTGGTTTGGATTACTGTGTGATGAAGTTTGCGACATTTCTAATCAAGAACAGTTGCTAACTTTCATTAAGTATGTTGACCCACAAACCAATAAAGCTACAACAGATTTTCTGTCTGCAAATGACCTGTTTCAGAATTCACAGTCAGCAGATGCCAATACCATTTGGACTGTTCTCAATAAACAACTTGAAGATAGCAAATTGGAAAAATCTAAGCTTGCAAGCTTCGCAAGTGATGGAGCATCTGTGATGACAGGAAAGAAGAATGGCGTGGCAGCTAAACTTCGCTCAGATAACAAGCCTCTTATAAATGTTCACTGCATTGCCCATCGATTAGCTTTGGCTTGTGGCGATGCAAGCAATTCTGTTTCATACATACTAACAATGGAGAAAATTCTCATACAACTTTGGTCCCTTTTCAAAAACTCGCCGAAAAAAGCTGCAAAATATGCAAAGGCTGTAATGCATGCAAGTGAACTTGGAGTCACTAATGCTATGACCAGACGTGGAAAGAAGAAACTAAGTAAGCGTTTTCACAAAGCCTGCAGGACCCGTTGGAATCGCTACTCCATATTTCCATCAACGGTCCAGAAGTAAAAGATTCAACAGCATTAATCGATTCTACTCTGAAGCAGTGGCTCGCAAAACCAAGGCGAAAGATGTCCATTGCAAATAAACGACCATCTAACGCAGAAGGGAGGGCACATTGTGTAGATGTGTCCATACAGGATGGTTCTTCTGACACTGTCAATGTTCATGATCAGGAAATGGAAGATGAATCGTTATGTGAACAAGAAGAGTTTGAAGACAACGCTGGAATGATGGGGACTGAGGAAGAGGTGGATGCTGCTGCCAACTTATTTAAATTACCAGCAGTAGATCTGGAAGAATACGACACCGACAGTGACGTCGAGGACAGTACTGATAATGATTACGATAGTTCAGATTAACTTGTTATTCAGATTAATTCAAATTTTAGTTCAGAAAAGAATTATAAACATTGTCAAAAGTTAAATTTACATTAAACACTTTTCATCAAATTGTTTTTTTTCTATCATAAGATGAAATCTACAATGTTGCATCTTTATCCATTGTATTTGCAAGCAGCGTTTCTACCGAAAATAGCCTTTCGCACACCCTCAGAAAATCTCTACTTTTGTTCTTCATGTAGAAACCTGCTAATTTCTAAACAAGAAACTGTAACTTTTTAGACAAAAAAGTTTGTTTTCTGACCATTGCAATTCTACGAGAATTTTCGCCAGAACGCAGGAAATGGCATTTCAGAGACTTTAGATTTCAAAATTTTCCTATCATTTACAATTAGGCGGTTGTACAGAAAATTCATGAAAACCCTGCAGATGGCAGGTATTCCTCTGTAGTTTCCACCTATATAAAACAACAAATTGAAAATAATCAGAGAAACTGCATATACCATACTGATGCTTAGTTCAATCAATTGAAATATGCATATGTACCTTCCCATACAGTTTGTCGAACTGTTTGTATTTCTCTCCTGCTGGCATACGATCTGGCAGATGGTGGACATCTTTGAGAAGATTTCCTCTGGCAGACGAGGAGCTTTACATACATTACATGTAGACTTGCCGCACTTCAGAATACTGAACATGTACTGTTGAACTTTGCAATGGCTTTCCAAGAACAATTTCAGCTCTTCCTTTGTCTTGATATCCTTTTTGGTGCGTGTTTCCTTCGTCAAGGAGTTGTCTATCTGTAGAGAAAAATAATTTTGCTGAACGATGTTTTTATACCATCAAAGTTAATGATTTTGTTATATTATTTAGAACACTCACCTTCAATACATTTTCCCATAAGGAATCAATTTCTGCCTCTGAAGCAGGATCATGGGTCTCGAAGTGATTATCCTTCAACTTTAGCCTCTGTATCATGGAAGACATTAGACCCTTTGTAGAATTTATAGAACCAATAACCTCTTCTTGGATCTCTGGAATTTTGGACGCAAGGGCACGGATAGACTTCAAGTTGTTGCAACATTTGAGCTCATCCTCGTGTGCAACAACTTCACGCATGATGCCAACTCCCTGCAAAGCGAGGTTAATAATGCTCATGATCCTCTCGACCGGATTTTTCCAACTATGTTGCGGTGGTGTTCGCACAGCACAGATGAAATCTAAATCCAAGTCCAAGAATATTGCCATGAGAGATAGCTGAACTGAAAGGTATGTAAGGCGGTGATCAGGACCACCATCTGTGTAGATGACAAGAATAGGCGTAACTGGACCCAGACGTTTCAAGGTTTGCTGGAGTTCAGTCATATGGTGAATAGGAGAAGATGGCTGAAACACATTTTCTTTCAGTATCACAAATACTCTTCCCCAATAGAAACTCTCTTCGATGGTTTCTGGTACATCAATCGCCAAAGATACGCAAGGTGTAAGGCTCAGATGTGTAAAATTGTGATCAGCCACAGCAAATTTCTTTGACATGGAAACAATGACGCTCTTTCCTCTCTCTACTGAAGCAACAGGGGTACCCAGGCTCTCCAACCTTCACTGTATGCTTGTCGTCCAGACTCATAAATGACACATGGTCACGGAATTTCAGCGCAAATTCCCTTTCATAACGGAATAAAGCGGAGGCATAATGGGCATCTGCATGGTGTGCGCGGACCTGGCGTGCTTGTACCATAAACTTTACTTTCAGTTTACCAGTGTATCTGCTAGTAGTTTTTGCACAAGGCCGCCTTGGCCAGAATTGTATTCTCAACCACTGGATGCTTGGGATTGGTGTACCTTCACGACACTTTTTCACCACTTCTTCGTGCAAGTCTCGCACACTATGGGCAGCGAGTTATAACATCTCCTTCTGCAACAGTATCGTGATGCTTTTCATCAACAGCTGTTTCATGGGTAGAGGAAATGTATGACTGGCATTGCTCTAGAAAAACTGAATAGTGTTCATGCCGACCATCATTTTGACTGCGTAAATCCCACATCAGGTCTGTGTCTTCTTCATCTAGGATTCTGTTGATTCTTTCATTAACCTCGGCTTGTTTTCTTGTCTCAGGTGCAGAGGCATCACCGGTTAGCCTAGGTAGGCCTCACAAGAAACGCAGCTTTACAGTTGGTAGCTCTACCAAAGCAATCGGTGAACTCTTTTCGAAGTGCCCTGCTATGGTACTTGGGAAGATCTTTGAAAATGGTTTTAGAAATTGTGTGCACCTCATTTAACAGTTTCCCCTGTTCGATAAACTCAGACACTCGCCACAAGAAATGAAGGTTTGCTGGACCACTATCCGAGTGAGTGTATAGAATAGCCTTGCATGGAACCTTCATTTTATGAACAAACTCATAACGACGGCAACGATCAGCTGCAGCAAAGTCATTCACACAAATTGGTTCATCGTCCTTGCACTTTAATAGAGCATCATACATAGGCTGATAAATGGCGGTAAGATTGGGTTCAATTGGATTGGTTTTGTATAGCACTTTGAAATGTTCTTTCTCAGTTGGACTAAAATTCAGTCTGGCATGACCCTCTTTCACCTTGAAAAGTTAAAAGGTTTTCTAATAGATCATATTACTGTTGTTTTGCATTAAATAAATGCATAAATTTTGCTTCATGCAACTTGCATGAGCAGTAATTGTGACAGTTGTGCTATTTTAAATTCCCAGGCGCCTAAAATCTTTTGTCTTTAAAACAATGTCGATTTCTCGGGAAATTCCAAGGTTGCATTTTTTTTTTATACACCCTATATATGCATGAACACCAGCATTCTCCAAAAATAATTATCAAGGCCATTTGTTTATTAATGTACAAGCATACATTAAATTAATTAGTCAATAAAATTAAACACCCAAGTAGTGTCCAAGGACAAAGTGTGGAATGCTTCAAGAATAGAATTGCAAGAAAATAAAACATTTTTCATATCCATTCTTTCTCTTGCCAAGAGTTTCTCAAATGAGAGTTTCTTTAACAACACCGAGAATTCCTTTGACAACACCGAGCCAGCTAGTTTGTCCCTGTTAATAACTGGGTCAACATGCCTCAAGTAACTAGCCTCTTTGAAAGAAGGAAAATTGGCTCAGGGACCGTGGAAGTGGGGGTTGGGGGGCTAAAGCCCCCCCCCCCCTCCCAATAATTTTTGTGACCATATTGTATGTTTATGAACATGCCTTTTTGTGATTTGATTCTGAACTTGGCACTGTAGCCCCAATCTAAAAATTGTTCTGTTGTCCCTGATTTGTGAACAAAGTGTTATTTATTAATACATATTGATTTTTATTGTCTTTTAAAATTCATATTAAATGATTAAATGGATTTGAAATGAAAATTTACCCTTTTTGCCTGACTGGTCAAATAGGCACTATATTTTTGAGACTCTCAGCCAGACCTACAACTGCAGCAACGACAGCCTTCCAACGATCTTTCTTCAGGTAGGATGCCATGGCCAAATTGAAAAGTGCTGAACTGTGGGCTTTGATGTCACCATTTTTAAGAAAGGACTCGTCAATCTTTCGCTTTTTCTGCTTCTCAGGAAATCGATAGTTGCAGAACTGCTGGAGAACAACAGGTATAGAACAGCCTCTTGTGCTCATGGTGTCCTGGATTCTATCTATGTACCACAGTGCATCAGTAAGTGTATTAACAAATGGTAAACCAAGTGACTTCACACAATCGTCTGACCAGCCCAACGACATCCCTTTCAACAACTTCAGAATATCATTCTTGAGCTTGTTTTTGCCCTGGTGATGGGTTTCGTCAGGTAGAAAAGATGACATTGTTGTGCTACGCATACGAGCAGCAGTCATCAGAAAATGGTTTACACTCACAGTTGCACTTTCATCATTTAATATCATGTCATTCTGCTGTTCTTGAGCCAAAACAAATTTGATAAATGGTCCCAAGTGTTGAACCACATCGCTTATTTTCGAGGTTGGCGAAACTTTTGTCAAATTCAGTTTAGAATTACCTGCCAACACTTTGACGAATACAAGCGTCATCAAACACTGGCTCATTGTCGAACGTTCCTTTCGAAAATGCGTCGTAAAAGTCTGCTAAACACATCATTCTCCACTGAGCAGCCATACCACTCTTTCACCGACGTGCTACAACCCTCTTGAATTATTGTGGCAACCACAAATGGCATTTCATAAATTTTATTTGCATATATTTATTAATACAACTTGAAGAAAATCAACATATTTGAATATTCACAACATGGCGTGTGAGCCGATGTATATAGCGCATGCGCTAAGGCGAAACATTGCCTCTGGGTACCAGCCTTCTAGCAGATTAACGAATCGTGAGGGACGAAAATCGCGAAAGTTCAACGTTTTCTGACTGTTTTTATGGTCGATAAAGGTGTTTTTTTTTTTAAATAAAAAATTTTAAAAAATTCTGAGCAGGTCCTTTTTGGTGGGCAGGCGAGGACGCTAAACCAACTATTTTTTTTATGTGGCCTTAGATATCGTTTGTTTTTTTATATAACTATTAGCTATTAATATATTTTCATGTTTGTCAAAATAGGAACAATAATATAATCATTTACTAGCACATGATAAATGAGAGATAATATTTCTATAATATTCATATTTATCACGATCACCAACATGGAAATAGTGGGGTTTTTTTACGAATAGAATGTTGTAATCCAAGGCTTTGCTAACTGCTTTTTTTTACGTTTCGATAAGAATTTCAATGGAGTACGTTTATTTATTGGCTAATTGACTTTAATATAAAACATATTGAAGACAAGATTACAATCTGAACACTGCGGGCGATATATTTTGTAAATTCAAATTCTTTAAATCAAGCAAAAAGTTATTTTTATTAAATTTGGAATAATCTCTGACTTTAGATTTTTTGTATGATTTTCACTGTGGTTCTTGTTTGTAATCTTGCTCGCATGACGGATTCCTTCGCCCGACGTCTTACGAATTTGCATATAATTGGCTTCGGCTCATTAGATCATTTAGAATTTCATACAGGGGACTCTTTGAGCTATATCAATTTCTGAAAGTGATATTTCAACTCCCATCGCATTGAATAGTTTCACACATATATCTGATGTTTGTTTCAACATTTTGTTGGAGAGTTTTAGATTGACGTTTGTCATTATTACGGCAAACCGGTAGTCGACATACCATTACAAGTTTTTTTTATTTAGGCCTAAGGTTTTAACTTCCAAAATGTGAACTTAACTGGTGGGTGATAGCATCCCAATCGATTGGCTTTTGTCGTTGCAACCTCCCTAGCCAATGCAAGATCATGTATGCTTGCATGGCCACTAAAAGGGTTTTGTGGTCATGCTTGCGCATGGCCACTAAAAGGGTTTCGTGGTCATGCTCGCATGGCCACCGAAAGGGTTTTGCGGCCATGATATTTGTGAAGTTCTGTATTAGGCCAATGGAACTGTAGATTCTGTTTACCGTCCACCGCCCCGCTTGTGCTTGAAACTACCGCAAGAATTTTCCATTATTCTTAATTATTTTCATTATTCGTCATTATTTTTAATTCTACGCATCGAAACTTTCAAATATACATCAAATCATCAAATATTCGATATAAAAAGCCGTACATCGCTGATGTATGATGGATCAGTCGGCATTTGTTCGGTACACTTGGAAATTCGCGAGTCTGACATGTGTAAATTCGAAAACAATGGCATAACAAAGAAATTTTCAGCAAAGGAAAGGCCAAAAATGATGAAAAGAATGGTGGACATAAGTGTTGATGATCGAGATCAAAAGAAAACGATTTAAGGATCATTTTTGATAGATAATAACAAAAATAATGAAAAATGAATAATGAAAAAAAACCGCATCAGATTTTTTAAATTCTCGGACGGTAAACAGAATCTACA